ATTCAAACTCTATCTACGTTTGATAATAATATTACGATGTACCAAGTTTGGAATAAATCGGTTACTCCAATCTGGAGAACCAACTAGCCAGACAGACAGACGGACACCTCTAGATCAAGTCCAAATGTCCTGCCACGGATTTGGTCCAAAGAGACCGAGAATCGTGAGAGGGTCTAAAACCGTGTCTTTCGATGGGACACATTTTATATCAAATGATATATTAACCCCCTGTATCCATATGGCTGAGGGTATAAAAAGCCATAAAATGGTATACTGTATAATAGAAAACAGCCTTTACATATCTTTATAGAATGGGGGCTCCCATTTATAGGTCTTCCATAGAATAGAAGATCCTTTGGATTTCGTTCTTTAGATTAGGACACTCTTAATAGGTATTCAACGGGATGAAAGACCCTCACGATGTCTTCTTTAGAATACATTTGAATCTTTTACCTGCAAAGGATGTTTCTAATGTCTTCGAAAGAAATAGTAAAAAATAGTTCAAATAAAATCTATAATTTTTTGGCCGGGAATAATATTAGAGGGGTTTTTAATTTGAATTTAAAAAAACACAATTCAAAGATTTCCCTTCAGGAAAATGGATAACAGGAGCAGATATATCCCAATTTAGGCAGAAAGTTTTTACATTTTAATTTGTATATTTCTCCTAAATAATATTTACAATATACGAAGGAGACACGTTATTAATATATATTATTTAATTCACAATAACGATATCAGTAATGGTGCATGTTATTGCTACTTTACTGGTATGGAGGGAGAATGTCTCTGCTAAATAATATTCAAATATGTAAATCACACAATTTGAAATGTAGATGGCACCTAACATGATTATTTAAAATATTTCTATGCGTATTTTATTTTCAATTGTAAGAGTTTAAATATTTTAGACACATTTTCATAAAAAAATTACATTTTTGTGTTAACTATGTGTGTCTATTAATTTATTCTGGCATATGACATCAGAAAATGGGTATGCAGTAACAAGTAAAAAAGCTGTAATTTCGGCGGGTCGGAACTTTGAATACCCTCTACCATTTGGAACGAATTTGATAATTTTCAAAAAACAAAATCCGTTGAATATTCTTTTAAAATCCTAAAAGTACCGAATGTAGCTGTTAGATTAGGGACCATACGACGACATGGATAACTTTTGTCATAAGCCACTACAATTTTTAAATGCGAATCTTAAAAAAAATCGGTGAATAATGTAGCTGAAATCATCAAAATACCGATTATAGGGAGGTACCATTATATAGCGGCTATACAAATAATTGGACCTGCACAGACAATTTTCTGTCTTAGGCTGTAGTATCCATTATTAATTTCAAATGCCAAATTTGAAACAATTCCGGTGAATAATGTCGCTAAACCAATCAAAATACCGAATATAGGGTGGTATCGTTATATGGGGGGCTATACGAAGACGTAGACCTTCATACGAAATTTTTTGAAATAGGCTGTAGTACCTATTACAAACTTCGAATACGAAATTTGAAACAATTAGGATAAACAATTTCGCTAGAATCAGCAAAATACCGAATATCGGGAAGTACCATTATATGGGGGCTATACCAAAACGTAGACCAAACAATTTTTTTGAAAAATAATGGTTATAAATATGTTTGCGACAAAAAATATCCCTAAAAATCTCCTGCTAGAAATTATGTTTAATTAAATACTACATAAAGTATACCATGATACATATTAAATATAGAGTCCGAAAGTCGGAATCTCGAAAAGCAGGTGTTCGTACGGACTGATCTGTAAGTTGAATTCTGTGCACCGTTCCGCGGAAGATCTAATGCAGATGACCTTTGAGGATTAAAAGCTAAGCTCAGCCTTTACTGACCGAGAACATTTATAAAGCCAAATTGGATACCGTCGAAACCTGGTGTTAGCGATGTGCCAGAACCTAAAAAATTCCGAAAATATTTGCGATATAGTTTTTTCTCATTCTTCTCATTATGAACCATTCAGAAGTAAAGTGTTTCTAGAACCTTCAAACATTTGCATTGATCTTGCCATATGTAGAGACATTCCAAAAGATGCTTATAAAGAATTAAGCAAAGCAGAAAAAATTGGGCTGACCAGATACGACGGGAGGTGCCGAAACCTGGACCAATATTACCAAGTATCAAGTTAAATGTTGGTAATTGCCAACACCTTCATAACCTCAGCCAATGTTCGGTTATTCGAATATATTTTGACTTGCGTCATGATTATTCAAACTGTTGATCCTTCATAGGAGAGGTTTCGAGGAATGGAACCATTTCGTATCTGACATATTAAAACGTATTAGATTTGGATTGTATATCGACTACTTATTTCACTTTATATGAGATGTTTAATAGTTTTTCGAACTGTTCGCCTTTTTGAGAATTATAATTATCTAAAATTCTGACCCGTTGAGGGAAGAGGTACCAGAAAAGGGTACTCCGATATTGTCCATATTCACAACAGATCTTGTGTTGATAAATGTATTGAGATGTGCCGAGTTTTAAAGTAATCGGGTGCTCATTTCGTGTTTTATGGTTCAATGGTTATCCAAGTTTTGACCCGTTGTGGGAGAGAAGTGGTCCTTTCAGTCCGTTCTTCATACCAGAACTTGTGTTAGAGGAAATATCGAAGAATGTAGTTCAAATTTTATAAAAGTTTTAATTATTCAAAATTTTGATCCTTTGTGGGGGAGGTACCATAAGAAATGGTCCGATATCTACAATCTTCACACCAGTAGAAGTATGTATTGGGATGTGTGCAATTCGAAAAGAATCAGATGCTCCTTTAGCCTTTTTTAGAGCTTCTTGGTAATTCAAAATTTTGACCCTTTGTGGGGGAGCTAACACAAGGAGTGGAGCGATATATTCCATCTTCACAGCAGGTCTTGAGTTAGTAGAAATAATAAAATGTGTGAAATATTAAGAGAACTGGATGTTTATTTTGGATTTTATGATCATTTTGGTCATTCAAACTTTTAACCTTTTCGGAGAGGTACTAGAAGAAATGTTCCCATCTCTACCAATTTTTTTACAGATTTTGTGTTGATAAAAATACTGAGATGTGCCAAGTCTGAATGGAATCGGACGTTAATTTCGCGTTTTATGAGCTTCTTCGTTATTCAAGATTTTGACCCTTTGTGGGGGAGGTATCACAAGGAGTGGAGCGTTATATTCCATCTTCACAACAGATTTTGGGTTAATAAAAATAGTGTGATGTGTGTAGTTCGGACAATCGGACTTTTACATCACTTTTTATAAGAGTTATAATTATTCCAAATTTTGAGCCTTTGTGGGAGAGGTTCATGATGGAGTGGACCGATAATGTAAATGTTCGTACCTGACCTAGCACTGACGCTATTATTAGGATTTGCAAAGTTGGAGCAAAATCGGATTATCTTTCCTCTTTTCGTGCAAAAAATATATTTTTTGAAAATTTCGACCTTTTGTGGGAAGGGACCAGAAGGAGTTGACCGATATATTCCATCTTAACACCAGACCTTGGGTTAATGTAAATATTGGGATGTGTGAAATTTGAAGACAATCGGACTCTTACATCACATTTTATAAGAGTTATAATTATTCAAAGTTTTGACTCTTCGTGAGGGTGGTACTTGATGGAGTGAACCGATATTGTCCATTTTCACACCTGACCTAGCACTGGTGCAAATATTGGGATTTGCAAAGTTGGAGCAAAGTCTGATTATTATTTCTCTTTCTGTGCAAAAAAATTATTTTTTGAAAATTTCGACCTTTTTTGGGGGAGGTACCAGAAGGAGTGTACCGATATTGCCTATCTCGAACCCGATCTAAGTTTGGCAAAAATATTACCATGTACCAATTTTGGACCAAATCGGATACTCTCTTCGAGAGTTATCGTGCCCACCAGCCAGACAGACGGACGGACATCGCTAGATCGACTCTGTTCGGTCTAAAACCGTTATTTCGACAAGGCACGTTTTGACCATATCAAATGATATGTACCCTCTCTAGCCATATGGCTGAGGGTATAAAAATCAATATATCCGATTGAAATGTTAATGCCGAACATAAAATATTATATTTCGTATATCCAAAGCATACAGGCAATATAGGAATATTGTAAACTGAGTTTAGGTCTATAATATTGCAAGGCGATAATAAGTACAAATATATTATAAATCTGAAAAATCACGTCACATAGTCTACTGAACTTAACATTATCGTCATCGTCATCATCATCATCCTCGTTTACCATTGTAAATACAAGAAATACCATACCACACATACCACACAAACTCACATCCCTTTTTAAGGTCTACCATGGAGAGAAGCGAAAATATGCATTTCCTCCATATTTAGATATTTGCTTGCTTCCATTCCAGAAGCATTGCATTTTCTTTTTTGCCTCCGCTTGTAATTTCTTTGCAGTTGAAACAAGTTCAATATCACGCGTCAACAACGCTGTAACACAACAATAACACCCGTCGTCTTCTTGTTGTTGCAGCGTAAAAATTTCATAATTCATGGCAAATACAATTACCTCATTGTTAATACACGGATAAAACGAAATGAAAATCAAAAGACCAAAGAAATCTGAGCGAATGAATGAATGAACGAACAGCAGCAGGAGGCCGACAAGCTCAGACAATAACAAGTATACCGCCAACGAAAAAAACCTTTCTCTTCGCAAATCAGGTTGCTTTTTTTTTTTTTTGGTTGGTGTGTTTGTGTCCTACACGGTTCGTTGGCAGAGTTTGTGGTCAACCCTTTTGCTGGCGCCACACCTGTAATAAAGTTCGAACAGTAAAGGCCAATATGGGCAATGAGCTTCAGTGAAATGGGGAAGAATGTGACTTATATAATTATATGGTATGATGAGTGTAAATTGGAGGTTCTGTACAAAAAACGTTATCTTTTGAAGAAGGAGAAAACATTAAATTGCCTATTATGGTATTATACTTCAGCATTTATATGCCAATAACCAAAAATTTTATAACTTACCCTGATATCATCACTCCGACATAACCTGAAAATAAAAAAAGAAAACGAATTAAAAAACTATTATACAATATAAAGCAGATCAATTAAGACTTTTGTAGGTGGAAGTCTACAGGTTGAGATAAAAAAATCTGCAACAAAGTCAAACGCCAAAATGCTTACATTTTTTTTAAATTTATTGAATGAAAGCAAAAAATATCGGAAATAGCATCAACTTTTAGAATAAGTTTAGATTTGTTCAAATTGGTCATCTTTGGCACGAATTATAACCTTCAAACGGTCAATGAAACTGACACACACTGCCCGAATGGTGCTTTGCGGTATTTTGGCCCATTCGCGGCGAAGCGCTTGGTTGAGGTCATCGACACTTTGGTATTTCTTAGTGCCAACCTTGCTTCCAAAAATACTCCAGACAAAATAATCCAACGGATTGGTATCCGGAGATTTTGGTGGCCATTGTGCGCTGGAAATGAAGCGAGGAACCTCATTTTGTAACCATTCTTGGGTGGTGCGTGGCTTAACCCCGAGCTCATTTTTCAATATTTGCCGAATGGAATATTGCGATATGCTCAGCTCACGAGCCATTTTTTGGCCACGGGGTTTTTAAGATGCTATTTCATTGAGATTATTAAAGAGCAAAAACAGGGCATTTTAAAACGCTCATAACTCCTTAAATATTGACATTTCGGAGTTTTTAGCCTATTATTTCATTGAGATATTTAAAGAGCAAAAATAGGGTATTTTAAAACGCTCATAAGTCCTTAAATATTGACATTTCGGGGTTTCTAGCCTATTATTTCATTGAGATAATTAAAGAGGAAAAATAGGGTATTTTAAAAAGCTCATAACTCCTTAAATATTGAATTTTCGGGGTTTTTAGCCTATTATTTCATTGAGATAATTAAAGAGGAAAAATGGGGTATTTTAAAACGCTCATAACTCCTTAAATATTGACATTTCGGGGTTTTTAGCCTATTATTTCATTGAGATATTTAAAGAGGAAAAATAGGGTATTTTAAAACGCTCATAACTCCTTAAATATTGACATTTCGGGGTTTATAGGCTATTATTTCATTGAGACATTTAAATAGGAAAAATAGGGTATTTTAAAACGCTCATAACTCCTTAAATATTGACATTTCGGGGTTTTTAGCCTATTATTTCATTGAGATAATTAAAGAGGAAAAACAGGGTATTTTAAAATGCTCATAACTCCTTAAATATTGACATTGAGATAATTAAAGAGGAAAAATAGGGTATTTTAAAACGCTCATAACTCCTTAAATATTGATATTTCGGGGTTTTTAGCCTATTATTTCATTGAGATAATTAAAGAGGAAAAATAGGGTATTTTAAAACGCTCATAACTCCTTAAATATTGACATTTCGGGGTTTTTAGCCTATTATTTTATTGAGATATTTAAAGAGGAAAAATAGGGTATTTTAAAACGCTCATAACTCCTTAAATATTGATATTTCGGGGTTTTTAGCCTAGTATTTCATTGAGATAATTAAAGAGGAAAAAAGGGTATTTTAAAACGCTCATAACTCCTTAAATATTGATATTTCGGCGTTTTTAGCCTATTATTTCATTGAGATAATTAAAGAGGAAAAAAGGGTATTTTAAAACGCTCATAACTCCTTAAATATTGACATTTCGGGGTTTTTAGCCTATTATTTCATTGAGATAATTAAAGAGGAAAAATAGGGTATTTTAAAACGCTCATAACTCCTTAAATATTGACATTTCGGGGTTTTTAGCCTATTATTTGATTGAGATATTTAAAGAGGAAAAATAGGGTATTTTAAAACGCTCATAACTCCTTAAATATTGACATTTCGGGGTTTCTAGCCTATTATATCATTGCAATTATTAAAGAGGAAAAATTGCGTATTTTAAAACGCTCATGACTCCTTAAATATTGACATTTCGGGGTTTTTAGCCTATTATTTCATTGAGATATTTAAAGAGGAAAAATATGGTATTTTAAAACGCTCATAACTCCTTAAATATTGACTTTTCGGGGTTTTTAGCCTATTATTTCATTGAGATAATTAAAGAGGAAAAATAGGGTATTTTAAAACGCTCATAACTCCTTAAATATTGACATTTCGGGGTTTTTAGCCTAGTATTTCATTGAGATAATTAAAGAGGAGAAAAGGGTATTTTAAAACGCTCATAACTCCTTAAATATTGATATTTCGGCGTTTTTAGCCTATTATTTCATTGAGATAATTAAAGAGGAAAAAAGGGTATTTTAAAACGCTCATAACTCCTTAAATATTGACATTTCGGGGTTTTTAGCCTATTATTTCATTGAGATAATTAAAGAGGAAAAATAGGGTATTTTAAAACGCTCATAACTCCTTAAATATTGACATTTCGGGGTTTTTAGCCTATTATTTGATTGAGATATTTAAAGAGGAAAAATAGGGTATTTTAAAACGCTCATAACTCCTTAAATATTGACATTTCGGGGTTTCTAGCCTATTATATCATTGCAATTATTAAAGAGGAAAAATTGCGTATTTTAAAACGCTCATGACTCCTTAAATATTGACATTTCGGGGTTTTTAGCCTATTATTTCATTGAGATATTTAAAGAGGAAAAATATGGTATTTTAAAACGCTCATAACTCCTTAAATATTGACTTTTCGGGGTTTTTAGCCTATTATTTCATTGAGATAATTAAAGAGGAAAAATAGGGTATTTTAAAACGCTCATAACTCCTTAAATATTGACATTTCGGGGTTTTTAGCCTATTATTTTATTGAGATATTTAAAGAGGAAAAATAGGGTATTTTAAAACGCTCATAACTCCTTAAATATTGATATTTCGGGGTTTTTAGCCTAGTATTTCATTGAGATAATTAAAGAGGAAAAAAGGGTATTTTAAAACGCTCATAACTCCTTAAATATTGATATTTCGGGGTTTTTAGCCTATTATTTCATTGAGATAATTAAAGAGGAAAAAAGGGTATTTTAAAACGCTCATAACTCCTTAAATATTGACATTTCGGGGTTTTTAGCCTATTATTTCATTGAGATAATTAAAGAGGAAAAATAGGGTATTTTAAAACGCTCATAACTCCTTAAATATTGACATTTCGGGGTTTTTAGCCTATTATTTGATTGAGATATTTAAAGAGGAAAAATAGGGTATTTTAAAACGCTCATAACTCCTTAAATATTGACATTTCGGGGTTTCTAGCCTATTATATCATTGCAATTATTAAAGAGGAAAAATTGCGTATTTTAAAACGCTCATGACTCCTTAAATATTGACATTTCGGGGTTTTTAGCCTATTATTTCATTGAGATATTTAAAGAGGAAAAATATGGTATTTTAAAACGCTCATAACTCCTTAAATATTGACTTTTCGGGGTTTTTAGCCTATTATTTCATTGAGATAATTAAAGAGGAAAAATAGGGTATTTTAAAACGCTCATAACTCCTTAAATATTGACATTTCGGGGTTTTTAGCCTAGTATTTCATTGAGATAATTAAAGAGGAAAAAAGGGTATTTTAAAACGCTCATAACTCCTTAAATATTGATATTTCGGCGTTTTTAGCCTATTATTTCATTGAGATAATTAAAGAGGAAAAAAGGGTATTTTAAAACGCTCATAACTCCTTAAATATTGACATTTCGGGGTTTTTAGCCTATTATTTCATTGAGATAATTAAAGAGGAAAAATAGGGTATTTTAAAACGCTCATAACTCCTTAAATATTGACATTTCGGGGTTTTTAGCCTATTATTTGATTGAGATATTTAAAGAGGAAAAATAGGGTATTTTAAAACGCTCATAACTCCTTAAATATTGACATTTCGGGGTTTCTAGCCTATTATATCATTGCAATTATTAAAGAGGAAAAATTGCGTATTTTAAAACGCTCATGACTCCTTAAATATTGACATTTCGGGGTTTTTAGCCTATTATTTCATTGAGATATTTAAAGAGGAAAAATATGGTATTTTAAAACGCTCATAACTCCTTAAATATTGACTTTTCGGGGTTTTTAGCCTATTATTTCATTGAGATAATTAAAGAGGAAAAATAGGGTATTTTAAAACGCTCATAACTCCTTAAATATTGACATTTCGGGGTTTTTAGCCTATTATTTTATTGAGATATTTAAAGAGGAAAAATAGGGTATTTTAAAACGCTCATAACTCCTTAAATATTGATATTTCGGGGTTTTTAGCCTAGTATTTCATTGAGATAATTAAAGAGGAAAAAAGGGTATTTTAAAACGCTCATAACTCCTTAAATATTGATATTTCGGGGTTTTTAGCCTATTATTTCATTGAGATAATTAAAGAGGAAAAAAGGGTATTTTAAAACGCTCATAACTCCTTAAATATTGACATTTCGGAGTTTTTAGCCATTATTTCATTGAGATATTTAAAGAGCAAAAATAGGGTATTTTAAAACGCTCATAAGTCCTTAAATATTGACATTTCGGGGTTTCTAGCCTATTATTTCATTGAGATAATTAAAGAGGAAAAATAGGGTATTTTAAAAAGCTCATAACTCCTTAAATATTGACATTTCGGGGTTTTTAGCCTATTATTTCATTGAGATAATTAAAGAGGAAAAATGGGGTATTTTAAAACGCTCATAACTCCTTAAATATTGACATTTCGGGGTTTATAGGCTATTATTTCATTGAGACATTTAAATAGGAAAAATAGGGTATTTTAAAACGCTCATAACTCCTTAAATATTGACATTTCGGGGTTTTTAGCCTATTATTTCATTGAGATAATTAAAGAGGAAAAATAGGGTATTTTAAAATGCTCATAACTCCTTAAATATTGACATTTCGGGGTTTATAGGCTATTATTTCATTGAGATATTTAAAGAGGAAAAATATTGTATTTTAAAACGCTCATAACTCCTTAAATATTGACATTTCGGGGTTTTTAGCCTATTATTTCATTGAGATAATTAAAGAGGAAAAATAGGGTATTTTAAAATGCTCATAACTCCTTAAATATTGACATTTCGGGGTTTTTTG